CACGCGCTCTCTTGCGCGTCGATTCCACGTCAGGGAAAGCTCTTCGTCCTCGGCGGCGGCGATTCTTTTCGCTCTGCCGTCGTCTACACCGCCTTGACGAATCGCTGGTCGTTCGTGTCTCCGATGACGAGTCCGAGGACTTACTTCGTCGCCGGGAATTTAAACGGTAAGATCATGGCAGTCGGTGGGAGTTACGGGAACGGAGAAGCGACGACGGCTGTAGAATCGTACGATCCAGAGAGTGACACGTGGAGGGGATCGGAGAAACTTCCGATGGTGTTGGCGAAGTACGACTCCGCCGTGATAGGGAAGGAGATGTTTGTGACGGAAGGATGGGCGTGGCCGTTTATGTTTCCGCCGATGGGATACGTGTACGATTCGGATGAAGACACGTGGCGAGATATGAGCGGTGCGATGAAGGAAGGGTGGACGGGTGTGAGCGTGGTGATCAGAGAGAGGCTGTTCGTGATCTCCGAGCACGGCGATTTCCCGATGAAGGTTTATTCGTCCGATGATGACACGTGGAGGTACGTGAGTGGCGAGAAGCTTCCCGGGAAGACGATGCGGCGACCTTTCGCGGTGACGGGAGCGGACGACCGAGTTTTCGTGGTGGCTGGAGGGATGAACGTGGCGGAGGGGAGAGTGAGCGAGGGGCAAAACGGGGAATTCAGTGTTGAGTGGAAGATGGTGGTTTCGTCTCCTCAAACTTGTGCCCAATTCTCACCTGCTAGTTGCCATGTGCTTTATGTCTAGTAAATAGTAACTTTCCCTTTTGTTTCACAAAAAAAGTTACGGGAGGTTGGGAATGCGGCTGAACTGTATTACTATAAGAAAGATTCGATTCGATTCAATTTCGCCGGAGCAGGTTGCGTGGTGGATAATTGAAGCAGCTTGTCGTGTTTGGTTACATTACATCAAGTGTGTTGACATTATCTAAAAACAATAATTTTTTACAACCATCCTTTTTAGTCATCCACAAGCAAATAGTATGAGATTGATGTAACCAAGATATATTATACTCTATCTGTTTCAAAATGTAAATTGTTTTGGCTAAAAATGCGAATATTAAAAAACTATTTTTTTTCTACAAAATATCATTTTATATATATAATAAAAATAATTTAATCAATGAAAAAAATGACTACAAAATGCTATTAGTCACCTAATAGTCAATAAAGTTAAAAAATATCAAAACAACTTATATTTTGAAACATAAAAAAAACATCTAAAACAACTTATATTTTGAAACGGAGGGAGTACAATTTTTTTCACTAAAATCTTTAAATTGATGAAATTAAGGGTAACAAAACGTATAAAGTACGGACTATAGAGATCGCTAGAGCTCTGAATC